TGTGATGTCCACCCGGGCTGGAGGAGCCCGGGAAGGGGCAGGAAGAACCTAACATCCACCACCCGGCTTGCGTGCTGTTGGCAGGGAAGGTTCCAGATCCCTTGGCCCGGGGACACCCTGGGGGGTGTGCCAGCAGCATTTGGAAGGCCCTCACCCGCCAGGGGAGGCTGTCTTCCTGGAGGGACCCACGAGAGGACGAGCCTTGGGCCTCCGTGGGACTGGACAGAAGGCCACGTAACGGGGAGCGGAGCCTCGCTGCCCCGTGGCCAGGCCACAGCGAGCCCCGCAGAGGCGCCTGACCGCCTTAGGCCCCTGGGTCCCGCCTCAGTCCGGGAGTTCGGGGAGAGCCTCTGGCTCCTTGGGCTTCCTTGCGCGGCCTTTGCGCATCGGTTTTTGTCTGGAGCGGGAGCTACAGCCGTTTCTGGCCTCGGTTCCCTCCTCGGCACAGCCCGTTCGGGGCCCTGGTTTCCTCGGGTCCCCACTGCCCCCCGGGCCCGGCCACCCGAGTCGGGCCTCAGGCCTCTGGGTGGGTGGGAGTCCCCTGGTCCCGGGTCCCCCCACCCCAGTACAGCCGAGGGACACAGCCCTGCGCTCGGGGCTCACGGGAAGGCGGTCCGGGGCCATGTGGGCGGCGAGGAATTGGGAACCGGAGAAGGGGGACGCCGGGGGTCGCTGAGGGGCGGGAGGGGAATCACCGCCCAAAACCAACGCGGCGGTTCGGCGATGTGGAGGACAAGGCGCAGGCGGTTCCTGGTCCCCTCCAGGCTCCTCGCCCGCCCGGGACCCCGCGCCCCGGCCTGGCCCCTGGGACCCGAGCCCGGAGCTTAGCGGGGAGCGCTGGGAAGGCCGCGGGTCAGCTCCGGGGCGTCCCGCAGGCCCGGCCGCACCCCTGCCGCACCCCTGCAGCGCCGCCCCCGTATGCGCCCCCGCCCCTGCCGGCAGCCCGCCCACCTGGACCCCGCGCCCCGGGCCGTCTGCTTAGAAAACCCCGTGTCCCGCCACCCCTCCCTCCTCCGCCCCTTCGCCCCGAAAGTTCTGGGAGCAGAGCTGAGAGACGCCAGTGGAGCACAAGCGCCCTGAGGAGGAGGCGGTGGCGCAGAGGGAACCAGCGGGACCCAGGGCGCACGGGGAGGCCTTAGTGGCAGGGACAGGCCGGGCCCCTGTGAGGGGCTCCGCCTCCGCAGGGTGGTCCTCCCCGGGGCTCTGTGTCCTCGGCCAGTGCCTTGGTCCCCCGGCCGGCTGGGAGCGCGGGGTGGTGCCGGGTGCGAGAGCGCGTGTGAGGCCGGAGGAGCCGCCCGGCCCGCGCTGTCTTCCCGGCGCCGCCCTGCGCCGGCAGCGCCTCCAGCAAACAGTGGCTCTTGTCGCCGCGGGGAGAGCCCTGCGGCCCAGGCCCTGCCACACAGGACAGGTGGAGGAAGGGACGCCTCTGTCGTCAAGGAAAGCAGGAATGGGGAGGGATCAGGCCTGGGAACCGCTCCTCACTCCAGAAAGTTGGCGAGGAAGCCCCCACCCCTCCACCTACCGCCTAGAGCCCACTGAGCCGCGCTTGTCGGTGGGGACGCGGCAGTGGCCCTCCCAGCGTCAGCACGCGGGACCCCGAAAGGACCAGAATGAGAGGAGTGGCGTGATCCTTTGGGGCGGGGGGTGCTGCCTCTGTCAGCTGCCCAGTGCTGCCCCGGGTTTCTCCCATCCCGTCGAAGACCAGTGAGAAGGAGCTGCTGAGTCTGGGGCCTCCTTCCAGCAGCAGCTGAAGTAGGACTCCGCTCGGGGCCCCGGCTTCTCCTTGCTTTCTGGGGAGCACACCCCGTCTGGTCTTCGCTCCATCCCTAGTCCGGCGGCCGGGGGCTGGCCTCGGGGCCTCGGTACCTGCTAAACGGCGGGACGGATGTGTCGGGGGCTGGGTGGGGAGACAGTTGGGAAGCTAGGTAGAGAGATGCAGGAGTAAATGGACAGGTGGACGGGTGGAAGGTGGGTGGACGGACAGATGGATGAGCAGGCAGGGGTGCGTGCCTCCTCCTGCTCGCTGCATCTCTCCCTCGAATCCTCCTTTTTTCCCAGGCCCCTCAGATGCTGGCCCTCGCGGTGACCTGTCCTTCCCACTGTCCCTCTCTGCGGCTTCCTTGGGCCCATATTTTTGCTTTCCTTGTGGTATGATTGTTGAACACAGTCGGCCCCGCACCCACTGTGGTGCCCCAGAGCCGAGGTCCCTCTGCCTGGCTTGCTGGGTGGAGGCAGGGAAAGGTGGACAGGACGGCAGACTCCCCTGAGTGGTGACACGTGGGAAGAAGGGTCGAGGGGACCCTGAGGGTGACACACCCGGAGTGTGAGCAGAGAGGACAGTGGAATGGAAAACTGGAGTATTGTCAGCGGGGCCCCAGCCATGCCAGTGGTGAGATAAGGAAGATGCATCGTTCTAATAAATATTTGGAGACTGGATTAGTGACCGTTGAGGAAAACAGTCATTAGGGAAAGCCGTGCTAAATATTGAAGGACGAACAGCGGAGAAAACGACAGCTTGTGTGGGTCTACGGGTGGTCCTCTTTATTGTGGTTCATGGGAATTTCATGTTGGATGCCCCGTCCGTTTGTCCTGCACGGATTCACCCATCGCCTGCTGTGTCTACAGCTGCAAGTGTGTGTCTGTCTGCACAGGCGGACAGACGAACCTTAGCCCTCAGGGAGCTCGGTATCTAGTTATGGGGGTAAAAGGTACAGACCTGTAAGCTCAAGGCAAGATGTGGCGAATGCCGCAAGCCAGAAACAGCGAGACCAGTGACTTAGCAGAGCACACACGGAAGGGGTGTTGAATGCAGACTCGGTCTTTGGAGGGAGGCTGTGCGGGGTGGTAGGAGCCTCAGCCCAGGACCTAAGTCTCTGAGCCAAAGCATGGGCTAAGTTCCTTGGAGTTCTGGAATTCCCTCTGCGCTCCGCAGCCCGCACCAGGGGCGGGTCAGGGGAGCGGTCTTGGAGGCCAGAGGAGCTCCGTGGGACCAGAGCCAGGACATAGGTTCTGCTTACCGTTAACTCGTGCCAGGCGGGTCCCCTGGGTTTTCCTCGCCAGCACAGCCGAGTGTCGGGAATGTAGTCTGGTTATGGGGTTTGTGCCATTAAAGCATCAGAAGGACCATTAGCCACAAGAGGGCCAAGAGGGGACTGATGGGTCAGAAGGAACGTCCCTCACTGCCCCCAGCATCACTCAGGGCCCTGGCCTGTCAGCCCACGCAGGTGTAAAGTGCTGAGCCCCTCATTGCATCTGGCCGGGTCTGTGCCCCCCCCCATTTGCCTCAGGTACCCCCCAGAAAAATAAGACCATGCTTCCTCAAGTCCCACGTCTTCATAAGGATGACCCTGTCTGACCCTGGATCAGAGGGAGGGGGAGTGAACTCTGGTGCCAGTTACACTGACCGGAGGAGACAGGGTCCCAGGAGGCTGTCCTGTGCTGGCAGAAGTTAGCAGGATTCCACAAATACTCGTGTCCGGCGTCTGCGCCTCCCCAGCCCCTAAGTGGATTTTGAAATCAGGTGCTTGTCTTTCTCCCTAAGCCAAGAAGGCCGGATGTCTCCTGGAAGAAGACAGAGTGATGTTTTGAACAAAATGAAGAGCCATCTTGCAGCAAAGACATCAGGAAGTCTTTTCTGAGTAGGAGTTGTGACTGGGGCAGCCAGGCTGGGGGAGCAGGATAAGGGAGCCCAGCAGCCATGCTCTGAGCCATGCTTAGGCAGAGGGCTCCACGCCGTGGCTGGGGGCTTGCACAGGAATGTTGCTAGAACATTCTGTCACCACTCCCTCCACCACCGCCCCCAACATAGAAGAAAGCCGCGATCTGGCCAGTCTCTCTAAAGCAGATTGAATTTGCGCAGTCGGCATGTATTAAGTACCTTGATTTGAGACATGAGAAGAAGGTAAAATTAAGCGGATTACTTAACACTAGCATCTTTCTGTGTAAAATTCCTCTGTGTGGGGAGAGGACCACTGTTGCCCGCTTCTTGAATGCGCTTTAGTGTGAAGTGAATCATGAACAAAGACTGAATGTTCAGAGACCCTTGGGGTGAGAAGCAGAGCTGGGGAGGTGATGCGGGCATGACCCTGAAGGCCCCCCCCCAAGGTCAGGCGGCCTCCCTGTGACAGGTGACACTCCCAGATCTCAGCTGACCCCACCCTCGTGTTCCTGCAAAGTTTCGCTTCTCTCTGCTGCTCTTGCTTCGTTTTCAGTAGCCAGAGATCCATTCCGGTTAAACACGGTCCTTCTCTGAAACCCGAAATGCAAATACAAGCACTTTACAAACAAAAATAGGACGGGCATTGCCGTTTTTATTCCTTCATTTTTTTATTCATCAGATGTTTTGTGAGTTCCTACCATGGTCACGTTTGAGTTCACATTAACAGTGAGTGTGGAGCGAGGACATCGGTGGCAGTTGTGACAGTGAGAGTCATGAGGGCAGTGTTGGCGCTGGGCCCATCACGGTGCTGGGCGATCTGCGTTCTTCTCATTTAATCTGCGCGCTGTCCTTGGCCATGGGGAGCAGACAACAGTCCCAGTCACTGAGCAGGAAGCGCAGAGGGGAACCAATTCTCCCGAGTCCCCCAGCTGGTAAAGTGGCAGACCCAGGAAGCCCGTTCAGGTTCCGAGCAGGAGCGTTTGACCTTGATGTCCCCGGTGGGCTAACTGGGAGGCCCGTCCTGCAGCCACCGGGCCCCCGACTCACAGGTTCCTGACAGCGCGGTGGCCTGTGCGCACACACAGTCTTCCTGTCCTTCCCAGTGATGTCTGCGGCCCTGGGAGGCGGCGGTCGGGGACCGGTCCTGGGCGAGGACAGGCAGCAGGGCACACAGGCGGCGGCTCCGCTGGGAAGCGTGGCAGCACCCTGTCACCAAGGCAGCGGGGCAGAGCGTGCCATCACAGCGCCTGCTGCCCGGGGCCCCTGCTCCTGTCGTTGCCCCCGCGTTTGGAGCCGGGCCAAGCGGGCGTCTTGCTAAAGCGGCGTCTCTCTTCCCCCGCAGGCATGAACGCTCTGCAGTTACAGAACCTGGCAACGCTGGCGGCGGCGGCGGCCGCGGCCCAGACCTCAGCCACCACCACCAATGCAAACCCTCTGTCCACCACGAGCAGCGCCCTGGGAGCCCTCACCAGTCCCGGTAAGGGGGTGCCCTCCCTTTGGGGACACGGGGGGGGGGACTGTGCCCGGAGGGGGCACCCTGGCCTTCAGGGATGCGGGGCTGCTGGCTCGCTGTAAAGTTTCTTAAAGACTCAGGGCGTGAAGGCCAGTGTGTGCGGTTTTCCGAGGCAAAGGAGGGAGTGTTCTGGAAGGGTCTCTCCACCACCTTGCTGGGGGCATCTCCCGCTCACTCCGGCCAGCACCGCTCCATCAGGCGCCTCGAGGAAGGGCCTCCCTCTCTCCCTGTTGTTTGCTCGGCCGTCTTTGTTGTGCTCCTTAGCAATTCCAGAACATTCTGTTGCATCTCAGAATCCCGCGTTGTTCTGGCATTCTGTTTCACAGCGGCTGGGTCCTGCCCCCACCCGTTTGCTTTCACAACCCACGCTCTGGGGAGGACCTGCCTGGTATGCCCAATCGCCTTCTGGGCGAGGCAATTGAAAGTCTTTCTCCTCAAAGTGTTGTCACCTTATTCAAAAGCAGATGCCATTTTTCTTTTCGTCTGAGCCAGATGAAACATGGTTGCCTGGATACCATGATTTGTGTCTTAAAAACTGTCTTGCTGGCTTTTCTTCGTCTGGAGTCTTCTAGGCCTTGACATAAGCTCCGGCGCACAACCCGGGGCATGGAGGCCGAGGCCCAGCGCTGGCCCCGCGGAACCCACGGGCCCTGTGCTGGCTCTGCCCACAGCGCCGGTGGGAGCTTGAAGACCCCCGGGGCAAGCACGGGGCTGGCCTTCAGGAGAACCAAAATTCGAGCTGTACCTGAGGCCGGCTTGCTTAAGGCTTCTGGCCACAGGAAGCAGCCGGGCTGCCCGGGGAGCCCGTGCCCCTGAAGAGCCACAGCCCGTGGCCTGGTGATGAAACACCGGGTGTTGCACGCATTTCCCCGAGTCCCCACTGCAGGGACACATTCAGGGACACGTAGGAGAGGCCCTGGGGACTCGTCCTCACTCCCAGCCGCAGCACAGAGGAGCGTTGACTTCGTTCTCTAAAATGTCTTCCAAAATGTGCCATCACTCTCTGCGGGCCTCATCTGGCGCAGTCGATGGTCTTTCCAAAAAATCAACTTTCACCCGTTTCTTTGTTTTTTTCCCCCCAGCAAATTAAGTCACAACTCTACTGCGCGGTACATAGACCTGTTACTTAAGTAAATTCTCCAGTGACTGTTTTTAAGAAATAGGCCTCTTCAGGGCGCCTGGGTGGCTCAGTAGGTTAAGTGTCTGCTTTCAGCTCAGATCATGGTCCTGGGGTCCTGGGATGGAGCCCCGCGCCCTCCGGCTCCCTGCTGAGTGGGGAGCCTGATTCTCCCTCTCCCTCTGCTGCTCCCCCTGCTTGTGCTCTCTCACTGTCTTTCTCTGTCAAATAAAATCTAAAAAAAGGAAAGAAAAAAAATAGACATCTTTGGCATAAACTCCCATTTATAAAAATAGTGACTTTTCTTAAAAGCAAGTTAAACATTTTGACCTCGCTAATTCGCTTCTTTTATAATTCAAATTGAAAAGCGTTTTCTTAAATAAGGATGTTTATCTCCCCTATGAGGACTATGGAATGATTACATTGAAAGAGCACTAAGTGTCATATACCAGAAGCCGGTATCTTTAACTCTGTTTTACTTGGAGAAAGAAAAAAAAACTAGAAGTCATTTATAATCTGTTTGCTCTTTATTTCCTTATATAAAAATAAAGAGTATTAGGTGTTTAAAAAAAAATGTTAGCTGTATTTGGCAAAAGGAAATGATTATAATTTTTCCACCCCTGGTCTTCATCTTCTCTTCCTTTTATCAAGAGCAACCAGCAGAAACTGACCACATCATTGGCAATAAGGTGGAGAAAAAAAGAAAACTTGTCCTTAAATGGCAGGGAGCCGTTTAGCCTACAGTTTGAACCACCAGCCCTTAAAAACTTTAACTTGGATATGTTCACTGTTGTAATGACATGAAAATCATTCTGCCATTCCAGAGACAGGCCATTATCATAAGAGGACATTTTAGCTAATGGTTTGTGGCCTATCGTTTGCTTGTGAGAGTTCATTTGACTTTATTAAAATGTGTTCTCCCATTGTGATATTTGGGCTGGAATGGGCTCTGGGGAATCAGAACCAATATTTGAACATTTCGTTCTTTAAAAGAAGACTTGTCAGTTTAAGAAGGCAAGTGCAAACAGGCTATGAGCTGGTCGGTGTATACAGTGGAGTTGGTAGGTAACCGCTACGAGGGGCTGTCTGGTGTCAGGCCCTGGCCCGGGTGCAGGGGGGCGGGGGGACCACAGCAGACGTGCTCCCTGCTCTCAGGCATCTTCCACTTGGTGAGGGGATCTCAGACAATAAGCAGCTCGGTGCGCCCCATGTGCACCAGGCCACGTGGAGCTGTGAGGACAGCCTGGACAGACCGTGGCGGAGAGTGAAGGGAGATGGGGGAGGCCACATGGGTAGCTAGGGAAGGGGCATTCAGGCATAGAGCAAGCCGGAAGCTGGGAGAGAATTGGTGCCATCGCTCACCAGCAGGGAAGCTGTGGCACCCGGGGCAGAGAGGAGGGGGGCCGCCATGTCCCTGGGCCCAGCGCTTTCCATCCAGTAGGGTCACCAGCTCAAAGACATTGGAACCTTCTTCCAGCGGCGGGGGACTCAGACAGCTGAGGAAGCTGGCCTGTGTGTTTCAGGAACTTTAAGCACATTTGACCATTTTCAGTTTTTTCCTGAGCTCTTAATGAAAGGGAAAATGTGTCCTGAGATCTATTTTCCTTCTCCCATAGCAAAGCGTCCTTACCTTTGCTCTCAAAGAGGCATTCTGCCCTTCCAGAAATTCTGCAGCGGTACCACTGAAAGTGGTTTTTTTCCTCTCTGTTGAGCAATGCTTAGCATAATAGCTGAAAGTATTTCATTAGAATCCTGAAGTGTAGCAGCAGCCACAATTTTAAATCTACATTTCAATTATTTTTCTTAAGCGTAACCAAAAAAAAAAAATCTGGCATTTAAGTGAAAGTAAATGATTTGTTTAATTTCCATCAGGGACTTTTTCAAAGTCACAGAAAATGTGGTTGGTAGAATTCATGACCGTCCACTTCATCGGAACAATTACCTACAGTCTAAAAGGGGTACGAAGTCGTTCCCAAGGCCAATGCCATTATTTATTTTTAAATAATAAAAAACAGGACCTGCCGTCATTATACCACTAGCAGTCCAGTCCATCAGTGAAAGGCACAGAGGTGCCATCGCATGGCTCCCACACAGGCCCTGGCTTTACCCTGTTTTCAGAGATGTCCCCTGCACCTCACACCAATCCATCTTGAAACGAAAGGGACAAGTCAATCCCCCAAACTATTAATGCTTTTAATAATTATAAATTTATCATTTCAATTTTGCATACCCAGGCATAGTCTCCCTACAGCATTATTATAAATGATTTTAAACAGTCTCTGCTTTAAAACATGAAAGATTAAGCTTTAATTTTTGTTAAAAAAAAAAAAATCCCCTTAGGCAATAAATAGGTTCCTTTGTCTCATGGCCGTGAAATAAAAATTAAAATAGTTTAAATTGCCCATGGTTAGAATAAGTGTTTCATGCAATTATCAGATGGTAGTGAATAAAATTAGAAATTAAATCATGAAAGAATAAAAACCAGGTAAATGCATATTACGCCTTTTATGGGTTTCTCACGGGTCTTTCAAAGCCTAATTTAATCATGTTTCTTGTCTTTTATTTTGATATGATCATTTCTCCTTTGTTTACTTCATTCTCTTAATTAATTCTTGGGTCATTTCCTCTCCAAATTTTGAACCTGTTTTTGAGGAGTATGTCTCTATGTTGGTATAAAGAAGAAATTGTCTGCAAGGTGTGCAGTGAGGTCTTAAAGATGATGCTGGTCTCTCCCCTGCTCGTGGGCTTGTTTTTGCCTGGGGATTTCGACAGCTCGGGAGGGGGCGTTATTAGCACCACACAGGCACGTGTCTTCGGCATTTTCTGTCTCAAACATAATATTGCATTCATGTACCCCGTTATTCCACTAACCGTCTTCTGTTTTGTTTTTAACATGTTTTAAAATTCTCCAAATGCTTCCATAAGTGCGCTCTATCAGGCACACAGTTCAGGACAGTAGATAATTTCTTATGAAATTATTAAGTATATAAGGCATTTTAAATGCAGGGGAGGATGTTTTCCATTCCCACCGTTGGCTTTTCAAATAGTTCCCCCTTTAAATCCAAGGCACTATTTCTTCCTCCAATCTTCAGAAGGTCGCCTGCCTCCTGGAAGGCTGTGACCAACACAATCCTGAGGAAACAGCCCCGAGGAGGGGCTGTTAGAGGTCACGGAGCCTGGAGTTGTTTCCCTGTGATCCTCACTGCCTGGGATCCTCAGGTCAGAAGGACCAGTGGGTGGTTATCCTCAGGGTCACCCCAGGGGCTGTGTGACCAGAGGCACTTGTGTATCCGTGGGAGTGCCCTGCGGGAGTCCGTGTCACCTGAAGAGGTGTGATGGGGCCCAACCTCCCCTCTCCCAGCCGTCACACACAGGGGCCGGGAGCATCCGGTGGACTGTGGTGGGGCCAGGAGACGGACAGATGCGCAGTGGGCGCTGGACGAGGCCATCTCCGCCGAGACCCCTCCAGTGACCCCCCAAGCCTGGGAAGCCTGAGAGTCCATCCCCCGCCCCGCGACCCGGCCCACCGCACCTTTCCCGGCCACTGCAGACCGGCCTCCTGGCAGGTTGTGCGTCTCATCTGCCTCGCAGCCAGGCAGTTCTGGTTTCTTCTCTGGAACATCCTTTTTCCCCCTCCCGGTCGACACGCCCCAGGATGAAGCTCTGGTCTTCCCTTTGTGCCATCACAGCAGCCCCCACATCCGCTCTGGCCCTCGTCCGTCTTGCCCATGTTGGCAAAACAAGACAGCTCTGTCACTTCCCACGTGCTCCGGCGCAGCGTGGAGGGAAACAGCCCGCTTGGCGCGGCACTTGGGGTGCTCCCTGGTCTTCCTCCACCCCGCAGCTC